GTATATCAGGTTCTGGGGACAGCAAAAGCATTCTGTCATCAACACCTATGATCTCATGAGAGGTGAGTCCACCAGTCTCAGCATAGTCATGTGACATCTGGGAGATGAGGGTAAAAGGGATGCATGGGAGAGGAGCTGGCACTGTTGGATGTCGCCTATGCCATAGTCACCTGAAGGTCAGACAGAGGGTCCTGGGGGACCTAGAAGGTGCTATAGAAATACATCTTCATGGTTGGATACTTGTCAGCCATGGGCTCACTGAGAGACGTTGGGGAACCTCCTGGCTCCTCCATGTGTGAGGAGAGGGCTTGAGGTACTTTGCAGCTAGGCCCAGTTCTCACTGACATGCAGTAAAGTACACTGGTTCCTTTTTCTTCACACATCTGTGGAGAAATCTGAGTAGCCAAATGCACCACCTAAGCCTCTCGGCCATCCTATGGCCTCTGAGGCGACTCTGCAGGAGAGCTGTCTGTGGTTAGCTCACCTTCCTGTCTTGTCTCTGCAGGTCCAGTGTCACAGCTACACGGGTTACTGTTGGTGTGTTACACCAAATGGCAGGCCCATCAGTGGCACCGCTGTGGCCCACAAGACACCCAGGTGCCCCGGTAGGTCTGACTAACCTTGGCTCCACAGAAAATTACTTTCTATTTCTCTTGGTCATGTCACTCATATTTATTCACAAATCAAAAGAAAATTTAGAGAGTGGGGGTGACCCTGCTGGACACATCACTCCATGTAGACCTGAAGGAAAAGACCTAGGATTGTCGTCTAGGCTGTGGCAGGGGACAGCTCACCCTAGGGACACACTGGGCTTGAGTCATTTGCAAATATAACCACAGAGGCTCGAGTCACAGGCTTGAATGACCCATTGTTTTCTTTGGCCAAAAAAAGCAAAAAGATCACTCTTTTATATACACGGGTTTTCAAAGAGAAAGTGGATCATTCCTCACAGTTCAGTTTCCAGACATTTATGTGTGATATTTTATTACTCAGACGGGAGCCTGATGTACTGAAAGTAACAAGGCTGGCAGGCCCAGTCTATAAAATGGTTCCTTTTCCATTAATATTTTTTTTTTTTACCAAAAAAGGTTACAAATGATTCAGATCATTTTTATGTGAAAACCATCTCTAGCCGGGGCCTGACTAACTTGCTGGGAAGACTGATGAAATTGAATGATCTTGTCATCTAAGTTTCTGGGCTGTAATATAAAAACAGGCAAACATATTAGTGGCTAGCATCATGAAACAAGTCTGTCGTTTAAGGGTTGAAATGTTAGTGTTTGGAGTTAACCATCAGACTCATTTTCTATTTAAGGGCAGGCACTGCCTGACGAAGATTCTGGTTGCTGTTGTGACCCAGGCAGAGGGACTGGGCACAGGTCATAGCTCATTTCTGTGCACTTACTATCATGTGACAAATCCTATATTTCGATGACCATTCATCTCTGAAACCCATATGATGTGTACCATGTGGAATGGGAATAAGTTTGTTTTGTTTCAAAGCTGTTTTTGCCACTGAAGCCTATAAAGTGCCAACTTTTTTTTTTTTTTTTACCTCAAGATAATGCTTACATTGAATAGTTCCTGTACAAATGTGTGGAGGAAAAATACACGAAGTAGAAATGGATAGTGTCACGTGGGTCTTGGTGTGAGTCCCATCACTTGTAGCTCTGTTTCTATCTGAGTGGCAGGCAGTGTTTGCATGGAGCCTGTTCTCCTGGGACAAGGCAGAAGACATGGTGATATTTGTGAGGCTAGCCATGTTGTCAGAAAAGCTGAGTTCTCTGTGAAAGAGCCTGCTTAGAGTGGTGTGTAAGCTTGCTGGGGTGCTGCATACTACTGTACAGGGTTTCTTACCCGGTGTCAGTGGTGTGTGACTGCGTGCAAACACCCCATTGTCATTGTTTACATTGACATTGCAGATGAGAGAATAGCCTGGCCCTTTGCTTAAAAGCCTAGTGTGTAGTTCTTGGGTAGGAAGCAAAGAGATTAGGTGAAAAGTTTAAGCCCCGTGTAGTGGTCCCTGCCAATAACCCTAGCACTCTGGAGGCAGAGGCAGGAAAATGAAGAGTTCTAAGCCAGCCTGGACTATGTATGAAGACTCTGTCTCCAAAAACAAACCAAGCAAAAAGCTCAAGTTGGCCAGGGCAGGGCTCTTTGGGATGGTTACCCCACTTTGAGGGAGCGGTGTGTGTGTGTGTGTGTGTGTGTGTGTGTGTGTGTCTGTGTGTCTGTGTGTCTGTGTGTGTGTGTGTGTAGTGTGGTTAACTGGCTGTTCCCTCCCTCATCAGTGAGGTTGACATACTTCCCCACCACATTGAAATGACTGATGTGTCTATGGGTCCCTCAGAGCAGCATGAGAGACTTTCATTCTGCAAACCCATATGAAGGAGACAGCTGGAGTTATTTCCTTTACATTTCTGGAAACATTATCGGTCTTTGAGGAACAACTAAGGTGCTTTGAAATTTAAGGGAGGGTTGTGGGAGAATTGAGCATCTCATGCTCACCCCGCAGATACAGAATTAACAATGTACCTTTATATAATGCAATGGACTCCTTCTTACAGGATGGCACAGCCTAATGGAGTAGTGGAGTGATGGGTGTCACTTTACTTTGGTCTGGGATTGACAGCAGGCTAGGTGGTCCTGTAAATTTACAGGCTGGTTTCACCTGTAAATTGCAGGGAGCTTGTGCTTGGGATATGCCCACATCAGCAGCAGCCAGCAGACATGTAGCATGGGTGGTGCATACTGTCCTCCAGTTATAAATCATCTGTTAAAATTGAGTAGAACTTCAGAATTTAGTAACACATCTTCTGCCTTCAGATTCACACAAAATTCATCATTACAGGCACACTCTGTGAAAACTGGAAGCCAAATACTAGATTAGAAATGATGAAAAGACAGTAAATTTTTGTTAGAAAGTGTGTATGTATATGTGTGTACATGCATGTGTGTGCATGCTTACATTGGATGTATGTGTGTATGTATGTGTGTACATATGTGTATACATATATGTGTGTGTATATATGTGTATATATGAAGTTGTGTCTGTGTGTGCTTATTAGAGCCATATGTTAGCATCCTCTGTAGCTGCCAGGTGGGAATAGGAGCAGATATCACTTCTAGGTCTGTATCCAGTGGCATGGGTAAGAAACGCCCAAGTCCTTCTACCCTTAGTTGCACCAGGAAGACCTGGGTGAGGCATGAATAGTCACTTTGCAAATGTTTGTTAAAAGCCTTGGATGCAGAATACCTCAAAGCAGTAGCATTTTCTAGAGGAAGGTGTCCTTGTGTCCTAGTACAGGGCAGCTTAGGTTAGAATCCCAGGAGGACTCTCAGAATGCAGGATTGGAGACGGAAACACAGCAGGTGACTCTGAGGTGAGCAGGTAAGGACAGACAACAAACCATCCATGGCAGTGTGTATGCCCATCACTAAAAGGTTCTGCTCTTTCCTTCTGGGATGGACCCCAGAGAAACACAGATGTGTGCTGCAGATATGTGGCAGGCCTGCAACAGCACCGGCTGTAAAAACCAAACCCTGGGACTGGGGTCTGTTGGTGTCTGTGGGATAAAACACTACAGAATGCTAGACTCACAGTAGGATAAACAGCAGAGCAGACAGATACACCCCCGTCTCCCTCACTGGTGCCATGGTGCTGACATCTGTGTGAGTCAGAGAAGCCACAGGAAAGCACAACACAGGGCAGAGAATTTACAACTCCAAGCAGACAAAACCTCTAGTCTGGAGGTGTCCTGTAGTGAGCATGGGGGACAGACTGACAGGATGGACATAGAGCAGAAGGGATTTATCAGATTGGTTTACATTGTATGATCTGTGTAGTCTTATGGTGACTGTCTTCAGATCTGAGTAGCTGATCAGTCTGTGAGGCTAGATACCTCCACAGTTTCAACCTAGTGCCAAAGGCCTGGAGACTTCCCAGGTCATCACTGGTCTTCAGATATGTTAGAAGTTGGTTCTGGCATCTACAAAGGAACGTAGCAACAGTGGCCACAGCAACTGAAAGGCAATGAGGCAAAAAGCCCACCTTTTAGGAAGGTGATGTCTACATTTAGGACGTACCTTCCCACTTAAAAACTCTGCTAAAAATACCCTCACAGGTATTCCCAGGAGGTTTAGGTCTTAGTTGCTTCGAGATCCAATCAAGTTATCACTGACAGTTGACATCCCAATCTCCTTGAACATTTTTGTTTATATTTTGAATGCCAATTCACAATTGCTTGAGGGATCAAGATAGAAATGGCCTAATTCCCTTTTTTAATGAAGCTGAAAATGTCAGCCTTCTTCACAGGCTTCCACCATGCCAACCTCCCTTGATGGCCACTGTTTATGCTAACAAGTAGTTAGCACACAAACCAGTGACCTCCCTGTCTTGATTCCTGGGTTGAGATCTAGGTCTGAGGGGCAGAAGTTTGGGGAGGTCAAGCCAACTTTAACCTTTTCCTCCTAGCTCTGTCTTAGTTCTCAGTGGGCATTCCTGAGCCAGTGGGCCCTGTCTTGCCACAGGACGGTGCTGGGCCAGTTCTTGTAGTTCTCCTGTCTAGACTTGTTTCTCAAGAAGCCCACTCACGGTTCACTGTTATTGCAGCTATTACCAAGCACTGGCCACCAGGGAGCCGGCAGTGAGTGGTGCCTGTCAGACACTGGCATAGCCTGGAGGCTGCGCCAGCAGTGAACAAGCACCACAGGCACATACAGGATGCCATTGGCTCTGTCCAGTAAAACTCAGAAACGCACCACAGAGAGGTGGTTTTCATAACTGAGGGATCTTGGCAGGTCTCATTCCCAAGTGCTATTGACTCTTATGCCTTCTGAATTATGACTGCCCGTAGATAGGTATAGAAAGAGGGAGCAGGGTCTTCAGAAAGACTTTTGGGGTAATGGTGGGATAACTTCAAGGAAGAGTAGTGCAATGGGGTTGAAAACAAAAGGTGCTTTTACAGGTGCCCCAAATGTTCCCAGGTGACTTCCTGTAGACTCACAGCTCCTGGTCTGTAGCCAATGCCTGCAGACCCTCTCTGGCACCAGAAATGTTCAAGAAAAATGGCTAAGCATCCATCCCCCTTTCCTTGTGTCCTGTGCTGCTGAAGGGAATAGGACTGCACACATCCAGCTGGTCTTTTCATCCTATCCCTCCCTCCTCCTCCTGCTCCCCCTGTCTTCCCTTTAAAAGAACCGCATGGCTTGGCATCGATTCCAACGTTAAAAACAAGGAATTTTCCCTTTGAGGAGCTGGCTAAATTGGTAATTCGGAAACAGCTTCAGGTTTTAATCTCACCTTTCGACCCTAAGCACTGACTGAGAGCTCATTCCTAGCATGCTGGCCCTTCATGCAAAGACTTAAAAAGGATTTGTTATTATCTTTATTTATGTTGATATATGTGTGCCTGTGTGTTCATGTGCATGCATTTGCAGAAGGCAGCAGAGAACAGAGGGTGTTAGATCCCTTGGAGCTGGTGTTACAGGTAGTTGTGAGCTGCCTGGTCTGAGTGCTTAGAACTTCTCAGGTCTTTTACAAGAACAGAGAGTGCAATAGCCTCCACGACATCTCCCCATGGAGGGACTTTCAGCATCACTATATCATGAGAGTCTCTACTTGGACCTTAGTCAGAGCTCAGCCTTTGAAGTAGGCTTCAGATTTCAATTCTCACGAGAGAGACAGAAATAGCATGGCTTGTATGTAGTGACATTGCACCCCTTGGCCCCCACACTAAGGACTGTGCCCTGGAGCTGTTGGCAGACAGGGCCAGAGATCTTGTCCAACAACACAGAACCACACCAAAGGTGCCATGGGAGCAGACAGCCACCACCCACCTTGTCCATTTACTAACAAGATTTTACATGTCCAAACTTGTGCCTTGTAGTTTTGTGGCCATTCTGACAGGACTGTGCAGGTTTGTGGTCTCTTCTGGAATCAATCTTCTCATGTCCATCTCTGCTGATTCAACCTGCTTTTTTGGCCGAGAGTATTTTACTTCAGGAGTGGAAGACCCAGGGATAAACTACAAAGGGTCTTCAATTGGACCAGATCTTTCAACAGGTTGATAAAGAATAAGGTAGTCCCTGGACTCAGCTAATACAGTCTTTGTAAAATTAATTTAACAGAACACTGGTGACCTTCCCTTTGTCATACATAGCCCACACAGGGCTTTCCCCTAGGTATTCTAATAAACTTTCTGAAAAAAAAATTAAGAGGCCCTTTATAAGTAGGAGGTCCTAGTTTATATCACTCATGAAAAGAGCAACACCTGGGGACTTCTGGAGACAGACTACAAACCTTAAAACAAATGCCGTCTCTTCCTTTCTCACTTGAGCCTCACCCCTGAAATGTGAGATGGGGAGTGCAGAAGACAGTTTATATTCCTGGGTCAGTCCCAGAACACATGACTGTGAGTGAGTGCAATGTGTGCAGAGAGCCATGGTGGTGTACATGCCTACAGTGTCACTTCTTCTCTGCTAAATCCCCTAGAGATTGTACAGTAAGTGTGAGTTGCCAAAGCGATTCCCTCTGTCCAGACTGCACTGTAGAAAAACCCAGAAGAGCAGGAGGGGTGAGCTTCGCATCACTTCCAAGAAGGTAGTGCTTCTTCTTTGCCTTGATGAAAACAATGCAAACTTCTAGACGAGGATCTGGCTCAGGCTGCACAAGAGGAGACTCCCACCATCAGACTGGAGGCCCCACATCTGGGAAGGGGCAGGGCAGGTCCCAGTCATGAAAGAGAGCAAATGGGCTACGTCTGGTGCCTTGTTCTCTCAGCAGTCCCAGGGGTAAGGAGGTGGCAGAGGGTCCCTCAGCTACTTTAAGGAGCAGTACTTGAACTTTAGGCCTAGGAATACGTGCAGGCTCCACTCCAGGCAATGGCCTTGTGGGTAGTGGACAGATTGGGAGATTGTAGAATGAGTTTCCGGAGCCCAGAGAAGCTCCGGACACAGCCCTCACACAGCATCTTCACTTTTGCTAGCCTGGTGGTCCAGTTGGTGACTACTCTCCATCTCCCTTCCTCTCTGATCCCCAGATGGCTTCAGGCCTCAGTTTCCTCATCTGTGAATTGGGTTTAATAGAAGAAAAAAGTCTTGAGCTGTCGTAAGCACTCAGGACAGTGAGAGACACAGGCTGAAGACTGTTCAGGTGCTTGCTTCCCGTACAGATATGGTGTGGGTGCCCATTTGATGATCTGTGGTTGCAACTGTTCTAGAGACAGTCTTGCTGTGTAGCCTAGGCCAGCCTCAGCCAAGTGATGGGACTACAATCCTCATACACTTTGCCCATTTTGTAGATGAGGAAATGGGTTTAGAGAGGAGAATCCAGGCCACAGAGCTGGGAGGCACTGAGGCTCATATCCTCGCCTCTCCTACCATGTCCCATCTTTCAGTACCGACTTGATCTTTCATGCTATGCTCATGCCATCTTGCTAGAGAATGAGAGAGCAGAAGCCACTGGCCCCTGCTAAGTGACAAAGGGAAATGCTTGTCCTAACAGGAAGAGTGTGGTCCTGTCTTTTCCTTGTCTCCCTGCCCTTCTGTCTGCCTCTCCCAAGGTCTGTGGGGAGTTTGTGATTTCTGGAAGGGACAACTCTTTTTGTGTTAACTGCATTCTGAAGGAGACACTGGCTCCTTCAGTCGAGCTGCTCACGCCTGCTGCTTCCCTGGTGTCCAAATTAAACACACCTTATTGAGGGAAAAGAGCTAGTGGATGACCAGGGCATTGCCTTTGGTAAGACTGCAGGCAGCCATCTGTTCTTGCCAAGTAGGCTGGATCTATATTTTAACCAATCATCTGGGCTGCATGATTAAGAGTCCAGTACCCCTCTGTAACTCTTAGGCACTCCCCTTACACTGATTTCCTTCACCAGAAATGCCCCTGCATCTGATAAATAAAAGCCACCCCCCTTAAGAGGGCCCCTCCCTGAGACAGAAGGTCACTGACTGGGACTTAGCATGCCTTTCTGGTGCTGGTCTGTAGAGTTACACGACAGGGCCATCCCACTGTGGACACCAGAGACCACCACTGTGAAGAATCCAGGCTGCTCAAGTGGGTCTGGGTCCCCTTCGTTTGCCCACTGTCCTGGCTGCTGGTCTGTGCTCAGCTCCCTCGACAATCCTTCGTGCCACCACCCTGCAGGGAGGCTAGGACAGAAAGCTGCAGTCTTTGACCCTGGGCAGAATCCAGATGCCACCAAAACACAGTCCCTATTCCACAATGTTTGGATGGCACACTGTATGATTGGGGATACTTGGTTCTGTAGCAAAGTGCTTTCCTACAGATGAAGATCAAGATAGAAGTATTTTTGGCTGGCTATAAATGCTAGTTGAATAAGGGGCCTGATGAGAGAACTTTGTCCTGGGGAGAGTGCTGGCTGCTCAGAGAGAACCTGCCACCACCCCCCTACACACACACATACACACATACCAATGGAGGTGGTAAGCTGTCATGTCTTTTGCTGATCTTGTCTCTACTCAGCTTTCTGGTCAACAACTTGCATTGCTTCTTCCTCAGATTACAAAAGATTATCTTAATTCAGTCCTGATGCTCTCTCAAGTTTAGCCTCATTATCTATAATATTTTTATTTCAATCACAAATTAAAAACCACATACACATGCTCAGAAATTCTGTCATTTGCAGTCAAAAGAGGGAAAGCATAGTAGGTTCATCATAGCTACACGTGATGAGTGCAAGGAGGTGTCAACAGGGAGCTCTGTAGGAAGCTGGTCCCTGAAGATAGGGAGGCCAGAAAGCAACAGAGGCTAGGAGGCTGGGATGCAGAGGGCCTGTTCTTCCCAAGGTAAACCTTGACCTCAGAAGTCACAGAACACGATCACATCCATTTAGATAGATGGAAATAGGAAAGTATCTGCCTTCGACAATGCCTGGTAGGGGTGCATGGCGATGGGACAGGCAGTCCAGGTGTCCTTCTGGCCTCCTGATTTGTGGGCTGTGGTCTCTCAGGTGTGGCTTAGGCAGCATCTGGAAAGGGTAGGACATACATAGCTACTTCCTGCCTTCCAGGAGCCCCAGAATCAGTTGCCTTTGTGTCTCCCAACACATCACTCCCCTTTTCAAGAAATGCCAGCAACAGAAACCACACAAAGTCGCCTTTGCCTTTAATAGAAGAGTGATCTCTCTTTTGGTGTCATATTTACAACTGAAAAGAAAAGGAACAGGTCACAAGGTGGGCATCTTTGCGGAGGGGCACCGTGTTAGCCTCTGGTCTGACCAGAGCTTTTTTCTGATATATTGAGCAGGTGGCAATGTGGGAGAATTTGGTATCTGACACAGTTCCAATGCATTGGAAGCAAAGGAACACTGCCTCAGACTTGAGATCTCTGTCCACATGGAGCAGCATCAACACCTTTCTCCACAAAGCAACAAATGAGCAAGCGTGGTGAATGGATGACTCACACAGAAGGGAGACAAGTTCAGTAGAAATACAAGCACCTGCAGGTGTCTGTACAGGAAGCCAGCAGTCCTCAGCCTGTGTCCCTCACTGTGACACTCCTTAGGTCTTCAAGAGGTCTGTGTCCCTCTATAAGACAAGACTGTGGTTTTCATTTATAATCAGACAAGTTGAAGCCAAGGACTTGGTTTCCTTTAGCTTCATACCTATCTGTACATCCTGTCTCCAACAGTCACCATGGTAATGCACCCTGACAAGGACACTTGACTGCAGAGCCTCAGAAATGGGGACTCTTCTGTTTTTTTCAGGGCTACCACTTTGCGTGATAGTCCCCCTGTGGTGCCAGGTGATGTGTGTAATTTAACTGGAATACAAGAATGCACTTTGAATTTATCAAATGTAATGATGGAGCTGCTTTCCTTAACTCATGGAAACCATTTGGTAGAGTGTTATAATTCTACTCTTTATTTTCCTCTCTTAGGGTCAATAAATGAAAAGTTGCCCCAGCGGGAAGGTGCAGGAAAAGCAGGTAACTATCTTGAAATGAATTTGCATAATGGTATATAAGATTTGATCTGATTGCACCTTTAAAAGACCCTCAAGTTTAAAACTGAGTTATGTAGGAAACTGTTACCCAGCTCTTCCAGCAGCATGGATGTCACCAGTGGGTCAGGCAGTACACTCAGGTGTTGGCTACAGTTTTTGTGGGGACCCGTGAAAGGGGCTCAGAACCACAGTGGGTCTGTTGTGCTCATCTGTAGGTATGTCAGATAATAGTGTAGTATATGAAGACAGCTGTGATGTGTCAGGTAACACTGTGGGTGTGGCAGGTTCAGATACAACTGTGTGTCTATGAGGACCACTGTAGATGTGTCAGGCTGAGCTGTAGGTGAACTAAATTCAACTGTAGATGTGCCATGTTCAGCTGTAGGTGTGTCAGGCCATACTGTGGCTATGTCAAGGTCCCTGTAGGTTTACTGAATTCTTTTGTAGGTGTGTTGAGTGACTCAGGGGACATCAAGAGAAGCACTTGGTAAGAGAATAGAGGTTCAGTATTTTGGCTTCTCACACATTCCAAGCCATAGAAATTACTGAGGACACTGATAATGTCTGTGAGAAGGTGACAGCTTCCTTCACAGCAGGTGCTCTTCTGAGGGAGAGACAGGACAGTTGATTTCTTTAGGGGCCACTTGAGGGCTAAGTTCATCTACCCCTGGGACATAACCTCCCTACTGAGACAACTTAGGAAGATCTATCTCTTTTTGTTCCTTGACCTTCCTCAGTCTTCCTGTCCCCCACTCAGTCCCTGGGAGTGACTTAAAGAAGAATGTGTGTTTCTTCTTTAAGTCTTTGAAGGCGGGAGAGACTTTCAAGATGAAATGAATTTTTTTTTTTACATAACCATTGGCATTATTCTTCTTTCTACCATGGGTGATAGTATAATAAACCCGACAAAGAGAAGCAATATGGAGACAAGACAAATAGAACTGAGTTTATTCTACCCCATTCCCAAGGCATAAATTGAAAGTCTCTTAGCCAGGAACTGGGCTTCCTGCCCTGGACGCAAGATCTTTATAGTGTTAAGACAGATGCATGGAATAAGTACAGAGGCCTGGGGCAGACACAGAGAGGACTGGAGCAATCATAAAGGCTTGAGGTATGCTCTGAGGAGTCTGAGATAGGCACAGTCATAGATCAGTCAGTCTAGAGAACACCTGAGGACTTATGGGAGGATGGTTTGTGGTATAGTATGCATGTGATGGAGGAACTATGAAGTATCCTTAGGTGGAAGCAGTGCAGCTTCCACCTGGAACAGGAAGGCCTGAGAGGGCATAGTTTGCATTTAGAAGAAAGATGGATATTCAAGTGATAACAGGTGCTCCCAGTGCTGGGTTTTAGGAAGAGAAGTGACAGTTTTTGAGTAGAAAATTAACCTAATTCTGAGAGTTCCCAGAGTCAGATGATTCCACTGCTCATAAGCATCTCCTTATCGGGATGTTCATGGGGCCCGCTGGAGGACACCCTAGGGAGTTGGGATATGGGCACAGAATGAATTCAGGTCCTTGAACTGAACTGCATTGCTCTCTGGACACACACTCACAGTAAGATCATGTCAATAAAGCAACAGTCCAGGTTTAGAGAGAGAAGAAAGACATGATAGAAATGTGGAGGGAAAGTATAGTTCCCCAATTTTATAGACTGTCCCTCTGTTTAGGTTGAGTTAGAGCTTCCAATGGATGTGTGGTACTGAGACACAACATCCCAAGGGCAGGTGGGGAGCTGGGCAGAGGGGAGCCCATATAGGGGCCTGACCTGGATGGACAGGGCCTGGCTGGGCACAACTCTACCTCAGGCTGGACATCAACCATGTCCACCTCACTCTGGGCAGCCAGGCGTGCATTCAGCCATCAGGGACCCTGTGATTTTTGGGAATGGCTCATCAGGATGACCTGTTCCTCAGCAATTACATACAAGCAAGAGTGTTTTTGCCAAAACCCCAAGAGACTCACACATGCTGTTTAAAGGTTTCTCCTATGATCTTTCAAGATACTTAGAATATTAAATTTGCTTTAAATGCCTTATTCCTTTCATTTTATTTCATTAGAAAATAGAATACCTCAACAGCAAACTTTCCGCATATCATCACCACTACAAACATTGGGCTTGCACATTTCATATAAGTCATGTTGCATTTTTGATGTTTGGACAGTAAAATTTTTCAAGAGATTATTTATGATTAAAGGTTTAAAAAATAATTCTCCTTCGCTCCCCTAAAAGCCTTGTGCAGGGCTTCTAAACAGCTGAAGGATACAGTGGGGTCACAGCTAGCTGAGCCCCATGCCCAGCCCTTATTTATATGCTGACTCTGAAATGGCTGACTCGAAATATCTGGGGCAGACTTGCCTGAGAGCAGTGCAGGGAAAGTTGGAGAGACCAAGTGCCCAATCACTCCACAGAGAATTCACAAGGAGGTGATTAGTAAATTCAGTGATGATTATCCTCCAAGAAACTGAGCCATTCCTCTCAGTGTCCACACAGCCTTCCCATCAACCCCTTTATTAGCTTGAGCCTTCCCATGCTGCATCCTCCCATGCATACTTCTCCCAAGAGTCCCCTCTGAGACTCCATTGCTAACTGGCTGGAAGGACACAAGGGGAAGGGAGGGCTTGCTGGACCAGATCGTGGCTTCCAAAGTGGCCTCTGCATAGGAACACACACAGGAATGGGATTTCAGCTCCCACAATGATTCCCTCAGATCTTTGTCCTCTTCCCCACATTGTGGCCTTTGTAGACCATGTTTTCTAGAGTGAGGCCCTCCTGTTTGAAGTTTTACATTAGCCCCTCACTGCCCTATAATGAATGGCTACTGCCCCAATGGTTTAGAACTCCATCCAGAGTCCCCGGTGTAGGCCTCAGCTCTCAGGTTCCTGTAGCCGTTGAAGGTAGCAGTTGGTAAGACTGCTACCCTTTTTCGATGTTATTGCCTGGGTCCCTTGGTGCTGGCTTTTGCTCTGTACTGGGCTGTGTTGGGAGGTTCTGTGGGGTGGTTTGCAAGTTCTGGGCTCCAGCCTGGATGCACACTTACTTAGCTTACTCTCATAATTGTAGTCTCCTTGCAAATCTTTTCCGTTCTGAATTCAGATGACGCTGCAGCCCCAGCACTGGAGACTCAGCCCCAAGGAGATGAAGAAGGTGAGCTGGTGATGGGGAACTGGGTGGGAAGCTGGGAGGGGTGGTCAGGGGCTAGGAAGTGGTATCAAGTCACTGTGGATACGATGCTGTTCACAATCAAGACATACATAGAAGGACTCTGCCTGATGTCAATCACTAGGCCCAGCATTGGCAGAGCAGAATGAGGACCATGGTAGCACATTCGGAGCTAGTTCCTTCCTGAGAGAGCTCCCCAACACACACACACACACACACACACACACACACACACACACAGAGTGCAGAGAATGACAAGCAGGCACTTTGCTTGACTGACGACATCAGTTCACTGTGGGTGTCAAGAAACCAGGTAGATGCCCTAATATAGATACAAAATATAGAGTGGCCTGGCTATATGTGGCCATTTCCAGCGTCACAAGGCACCATTGCTTTCCCTGGTGATTTTCCACATTTGCCATGTGGGTCCTGCTGAGCAGAATACCTTGGTAGTCATTTTATTAATGGAAATGTATGCATTCAAATTTTTTCAAAAGTGTGATGACAACGTCTGCTATTTTCCTAGCTGTGTAGCTGGTCTTTATGACAACTATAACAAGGATCGATTTCTGTTGTTTACATTTGATGAGTTGTCTCTGACATTGGTCATGTTCTCAGGTCAAACAGGGTCAGCTTTGGGGAGAATGTATAAGGAGTGCACATTATAAGAAACAGAAGACCAGAGTACAGAATCCCAGATGCTTTCCAAGTAACAACAGTAACTAGTGTGTGCTGAAGGTACTCTGGCTCTGCCATGTTGACTCTCTATGTTGACTGTAGAACCCCAGTCATCCATAAGAATTTACATGGAAGGGGTTCAAACCAGGCAATGAGCAGGGGTCTGAGTTCTCAGGGCAGAATAATGTGTCCCTGCTGTCCACAGTCAAACACATTTGGTAAATCATATTGAGGGGATTCTTTCCTCAATGGTGTTATGTGAAAGTTATATTTTAAATATTTTATTTTGTGTTGAGTCATTCAACTATTCAAGAACCTCATGTTAAATGAGTAACTACTTTTACTGTATGGGATGTGTTGTGCGTTGAGTTGCTTCTTTCCTCCCTCTTACTCTCTCCCTTTATCCTCAACTCAATGGCTCCAAGGATCAAACCTAGGCCTCCTGTGTGCCAAGCAAGTTACCATACCACTGAGCTACACCCCCAGCTCATACTGGAGTGTTTTATAACACATAGGACCTGCCTTTATTCAAATAAATTTTAGTTATGCTTTTTGATTAAGAAAAAATATATATTGAAGATTTTATATTATTGTTTCCTTTGTCATGTGTATTCGGCCATTTTTAACTTTTTTTTTAACTTTGTTTTAAAAAGGTGCAGTACACCCTTATTTATTATACTGGGGGGACAGGGAAGGTCGGGGAACCTACCGAATTCCTCAGCTGAGGGACTCTGTGCTTCCTGATGAACTGTCCATGGTCTTGTTGTTTCTCTAGATATTGCATCACGCTACCCTACACTCTGGACTGAGCAAGTTAAGAGCCGGCAGAACAAGACCAATAAAAATTCAGGTAAATTGGAACATGGTGTCCTTCTGAAAGGGAGTGTTTAATTCAGGAGTTTTACCTTCTGTAAGTTTCTTAAATGTTGTTTTTATTAGATTCTCTATAGTCTCTGAGGGAGTTCTGTGTAGCTGTGCAGTGGGCTGTACCTCCAGGCTCGCCGTGTGTGTGTGTGTGTGTGTGTGTGTGTGTGTGTGTGTGTGTGTGTGTGTGTGTGTGTGTCTGTGTGTGGGTGTGTGTGTGT